CGGTTAAGCGTCCGACTTCAGCCAGGTCACGATCTCGCGGTCCGTGAGTTCGAGCCCCGCGTCAGGCTCTGGGCTGATGGCTCGGAGCCTGGAGCCTGTTTCCGATTCTGTGTGTCCCTCTCTCTCTCTGCCCCTCCCCCATTCATGCTCTGTCTCTCTCTGTCCCAAAAATAAATAAACGTTAAAAAAAAAAAAAATTATAAAAAGCACTCGTCCTTTGAGAAACCAAAAAGACTCACATTCCCTTCAACGTTAACTGACTTTTAAAAATAAAGGAAATTCAGTCAAATCAAGGGCGGAAGGTGCCATGGTAGTTTGCACCTTCCTAGCCTCTTTGTTCCAGCCCCAAATATTCTGACATCCGGGAAAGCACCTTCTTGCCATCAGTTGAGAATCACTTGTTCATTATGTCCCAGAAACCAAGTCACTCGTTTCTCACAGTATCCAAAGGAGTACCTTCCCTTTAACATCCCATCCCTAAATCTGCTTCATTTGAAGCAATTCATTGATTATCAATCAAAGATTCATAAATTTTCATGCCAAAAAGTTTTTTAAAGATATTTTGAAGATAAAGCTTTCTGTCCCTATAGTTCTATCCCCTGTATCTTGATGCCTCTCGGATTGTAAGCCTTCTGAGCTGGGACAATGTCTTATTTTCGTCTTTTTTGTTGTATAAATCACATCCTAGTGCCATATGAATATTCAACTACATAAATACTATGTAACAGACTTAATACCTGCCAGTGTAACAGCTAAATGCCATTACTTTTTTTAAAGTGCATCAAATGTACTTAACAGGAAATGTTAAGGTTAAAATGCTTATCAATGACCTCCATTCCACTAGACGGTTTATTCATGGCATTGTGCTCAACATGATCGAGATTGGACACCTGTTTGTTTTACTTACTATGGTGGCCTCCTTGTCACTAATCCCTTACACCTGAGTAACATGTTTTGGTTTGGAAAAGGCATTTGTGAACATCCCCTCCTTTGATTCTGGAAAAGGATCTTGTGGAGGTACTGATTACTTTGTCATCAAGTGATGCTGGTATGATAGAAGGGAGTTCAAATTGCTAGGTTTGCCACTCAAAGCAGGGCAACAGTAGGGAAGTCACTCTGTTGACCTTCAGTGTCCTCATGGGTAAGTGGGAATGACCCGCAAAGACAAGAAAGCATATCCGAAAGCACCCGCACACTGGAGACACAGTAGGGGACTGAGAAATCTGTTCCTTCATCCTTTGTGTTTACAATTAGCTTGTATCCGTGAATCTCAAAATTGCACTTTTCAAGGGAAGTTTTTTTTTTTTGTTTCAATCAAAATGGAAACAATCACAGGCTTTTAAACACCTCCTCCCCTTTTTTATATTTTTTTGATGTTTATTTTGGAGAGACAGAGCATGAGTCGGGGAGGGGCAGAGAGAGAGGGAGACAGGGAATCGGAAGCAGGCTCCAGGCTCTGAGCTGTCAGCACAGAGCCCGATGTGGGGCTCGAACCCAGGAACTGCGAGATTGTGACCCCAGCCGAAGTTGGATGCTTAATCCGCTGAGCCACCCACGCACCCCTCCCCTTACTTTTATATTCTGGAAAGCTCTTCAGGGGATACAACAGATGAAAAAGTCATGATTCCTGCTCTCAAGGAATTTAAAAATGGGAAAGTAGGACAACATAAATGTCCAACTGTATTAAAAAAATAGTGGCAGATTCCATTAACCATTTTCCAGTAAGAAAAAGCCTTGTCTCCAAGAGAACAAGGACATCGGGAAAACCCTAAGTGACTTCCTGGAGGAGATGGCATTTAGGGTAGGATTTTTAACAGAAATTTGGAAAGGGGAACCAGTGTAGTGGAAAAAGAGGCATGAATAGTTCAGAAGGCCCAAATACGTCGGGGTGTATTTGAGACCGGTAGGTGCACTGTACGATCAGCAGGGACCGGAGAGAGGTTGTGACAAAGCAGGACAGTTTGGGTTCATTTTCTAATGTTTATTAATTGGACATGGGGGTAATAATTAAGCTTATATTCAAGAACGTTAATCTGGCAGTACAGTATCGGAGTATTTTACGGGAAGATAACCACCTAAAACTTCAGTCGAATGGCCATTTCAATTGGCTAGGTGTAGGTGAGGAAGGCCTTTTTGACTTGGCAGTGTAAGAAACAGGACTGACTTGAGGTTACTAAATCAACATTCTAGAATGTGTGTCCGTTTCAAAGGTGGCTTAAAAAGTGTAAACAAGCACACAAGGTCACGCATCTGTAAAGTGGAGAAGCCGGTTTGGGATTCTGAATCCCACCCTACATTGCAAATTACCAGTCACTTCTGCCCTCCCCTCCCTAGCCGCTCACCCACCCCCAATCCCTATCAAATCTGCAGGGGTGAGTCCGCAGTGGCTAGAGGGGCGGGGAGGAGCAGACGCAGCTCTGACAGCGGAGCTCGGGAGGGGAAGAATGCCAGGCAGGGCACCAGGAGTTGCAGGATGGACGCACTGAGGGGCTGACGAGTGAGGGGCCCCGGGTACAAGCTGTGGGTGCAGGGTGAGGCAAAGCTGTCCAAAACCAGAAGAAGCGCGACCCCCGGGCCTCGCTTAGGGAAGGCGGCTCTAGACCCGAGGCCGGCCTGCGGGCCTGTGGGAGGCGGGGCGTGCCGCCTCCCTCGCTCCTCCCCCCCGCCCCCCCCGCCCCCCCC